TGAAAAACTAAGCGCCAACAAATTGGACAATCAAGAAGAAATGAATAAACTCTTAGACTCATGCAACCTCCCAAAAATGAAGCAAGAAGAAATAGAGAATCTGGGTGGACCAATCACAAGTAGAGAGATTGAAACAGTAATCAAAAACCTCCCCCAAAATAAAAGTCTATGACCAAAAGCCTTCTCTGGAGAATTCTACTGAAGATTCAAAAAAGATTTAATACCTATCCTTCTCAAGCTATTCCAAAAAGTTGAAGAAGATGGAACACTTTCTAACACATTTTATGAGGACAACATCACTCTGATACCAAAGCCAGACAAGGAGAACACAAAGAAGGAAAATTACAGGCCACTATCGCTGATGAATATAGAAGCCAAAATCCTCAACAAAATATTGGCAAACCAAATACAGCAATACATTAACAGGATCATACACCACTATCAAGTGGGGCTTATACCAGTGAAGCAGGGATGGTTTAACACCTGCAAATCAATCAATGTGATACACCACATTAACAAAATGAGGAATAAAAATCACATGACCATCTCAATAGATGGAGAGAAAGCGTTTGACAGGATGCAATATCCATTTATGATAAAAACTCTCAACAAAATGGATACAGACGGAAAGTACCTCAACATAATAGAGGCCATATATGACAAACCCACAGCCAACATCATACGCAGGAGGAAAAAACTGAAAGCCATCCCTCTGAGAACAGGAACAAGACAGGGTGCCCATTCTCACCACTCTTATTCAATATAGTACTGGAGGATTTGGCCAGAGCAATTAGGCAAGAAAAAGAAGTACAAGGAATCCAAATAGGCAATGAAGAAGTGCAACTCTTGCTGTTTGCAGATTACATGATTTTATGTATAGAAAACCCTAAAGAATCCATCATAAAACTATTAGAAATAACCAACAATTACAGCAAAGTTGCAGGGTACAAAATCAACTTACAAAAATCAGTTGCATTCTCTTTACAGAAAGAGAGCTCAAGATTAAAACCCCATTTACAATCACAACAAAAAGAATAAAATATCTACGAACAAATTTAACCTTGGAGGTTAAAGACTGCTACAATGAAAACTATAAGACATTACTGAAAGAAATCAATGATGACATAAAGAAATGGAAAGATATCCCATGCACATGGATTGGAAGAATACAGTTAAAATGTCCATACTACCTAAAGCAATCTACAGATTCAATGCAATCCCAATCAGAACCCCATTCTTCATGGAAATAGAACAAAGAATCCTGCAATTCATATGGGGCAATAAAAGACCCCGAATAGCTAATGCACTCCTGATAAAAAAAGAACAAAGATGGAGGCATCACAATCCCTGACTTCAAAATATACTACAAAGCAATGGTAATGAAAACAGCATGGTACTGGTACAAAAACAGACACACAGATCAATGGATCAGAACTGAAAGCTCAGAAATAAAACCACACAGCTACGCACAGCTAATCTTTGAGAAAGGAGCTAAGAACATTCAATGAAGAAAGGACAGTCTCTTCAATAAATGGTGTTGAGAAAACTGGACAGCCACATGCAAAAGAATGAAAGTAGACCACTATCTTTCACCATACATAAAAATTAACTCAAAGTGGATCAAAGACTTGAAGATAAGACATGAAACCATAAAACTCCTAGAAGAAAATATAGGCAGTACACTCTTACATTGGTCGTAGAAGGATTTTTTTGAATACCACGTCTACTTGGGCAAGGGAAACAAAAGAAAAAATAGACAAGTGGGACTTCATCAGACTAAGGAGCTTCTGTAAGGCAAAGGAAACCAGGAACAAAACAAAAAGACAACCCACCAACTTGGAGAAATAGTTGCAGATTATATATCTGACAACAGGTTAATCTCCAAAACATACAAAGAAATCACACGACTCAAAAACAAAAAACAAACAACCTGATCAAAAAATGGGCAGAAGATATGAACAGACATTTTTCCAAAGAAGACATACAAATGGCCAACAGGCACATGAAAAGATGTTCAACATCACTAATCATCAGGGAAATGCAAATCAAAACTACACTGAGATATCACCTTACACCCGTTAGAATGGCTATAATTATCAAGACAAGAAATAACAAGTGTTGGAGAGGTTGTTGAGAAAAGGGAACCCTCCTACACTGCTGGTGGGAATGCAAACTTGTGCAGCCACTATGGAAAACAGTATGGACATTTCTCAAAAAATTAAAAATAGAAATACCATATGACCCAGCTATCTCACTACTGGGTATTTATCCAAAGAACTTGAAATCAACAATCCAAAGAGATTTATGTACCCCTATGTTCATTGCAGCATTATTCACAATAGCCAAGACATTGAAGCAACCCAAGCACCCATTGACTGATAATTGGATAAAGAAGATGTGGTATATATATACAATGGAATAATACTCAGCCATAACAAAAGACAAAATTGTCCCATTCACAACAACATGGAGGGAACTTTAGGGTATTATGTTAAGCAAAATAAGCCAGACAGAGAAAGATAAACACTGCGTGATTTCACTCATGTGTGGAAGATAAACTAACACGTGGACAAAGAGAACAGATCACTTGTTACCATAGGGAAATGGGGTTGGAGTGTGGACACAAGGGGTAAAGGGGTACATTTATATGGTGACTGACAAATATTCATGTACAACTGAAATTTCACACTGTTATAAACTATTATGTCCTCCATAAAATAAATAAATAAATAAACAAATAAAACTAAATAAAGATAAATGTGTAAATTCAAAAAAATCTTCAATGAAATATCAGGAATAAATTTATCCAAGGAGGCTCAAAATTTGTACACAGAAGACTACAAAATATAGATGAAAGTAATTAAAAACCCTAAATAAGTGGAAAGACACCCTTTTTTCACGATTTGCGAGACTTAATATTGTTAAGATGGCAATACTCCCCAAAATGACCTACAGAGTCAATGCAATGCAATCAATATCTCAACAACATTTTATTATTTTTTTTGTAGAAATGGAAAAACTCATCCTAAAATTCATATGGCAATGCAAGACGCCCAAATACCCAAAACAATCTTGAAAATGAAAAACAAATTTGGAGTACTCAGACCTTCTGATTTTAAACTTAATACTAACCTACAGTAATCAAAACACTATGGTACCAGCATTAGAATAGACATATAGACCAACAAAATAGAATTGAGAGTCCAGAAATAAACCCATACATCAACAAGGAATCAACAATGATTTTCAACAAGGAATGCCAAGACTCTTCAATGGAGAAAGAATAGTCTCTTCAACAAAAGGTGCTGTGACATCTGCATATCCACAAGCTGAAGAAGGAAGTTGGCCCCTACCTCACACAAGACACAAAAAACTCAAAATGTGTCAGAGACCTAAATTTAGGAGCTAAAATGAGAAAAATTAGGAGAAAATACAGAGATAATTTTCATGACGTTGTATTTGGAAATGGATTCTTAGATAGGGCACCGAATGCACAGGCAACAAAAGAAAAAATAAATAAAATGGACTTCATCAAAATTGAAATATCTGTTTATTGAAGTGAAAAGACCATGAAGAAAATGAAAAGACCATCTGTGGAATGGGAGAACATATTTGCAAATCACATGTCTCATAGTGTCTACTGTCAGAATATATAAAGAACTCTTACAGCTCAACAACCAAATGCCAATCAACCAAATTAAGCAATAGGCAAAGGACCTGAGTAGACGTTTCTCCAAAAAACAGACACAAGTATTCAACAATCATATGAAATGATGTTAAATATTATTAGTCATCAGGGAAATGCAAATCACAACCATAATGAGATGTCACCTCACAGACACTAGAAAGGCTGTAATAAAAAATCAAAAGGGAAGTAACAAGTGTCTCTGAAGATGAGGAGATTGGAAGACTTGTATGTTGCTGGTGGTAAGGGAAAATAGTACAGCCATTTTGGAAAAACTGTTTGGTGGTTCCTCAAAACGCTGAACATAGAATTACCATATCACTTAGCAATTCCACTCTATGTATGTATGCAAAGAACTGAAAACAGGTATTCAAGCAAAAACTTGTACACCAATAGTCGTAGTAACACTACTCACAATAGTCAAAAGGTAGCAACAACCAAATTTCCATCAATGGGTGAATGGATAAAGAGAGTGGTGTATCCTTACAATGGAATATTATTCAACCATAAAAAAGAAAGAGATACTGATACATGCTAGAGCATGGATGAACCTCGAAAACATTACGCTAGGTGACAGAAGCTGGACTATAAGGTCACGTGTTGTATGATTCTGTGTGTGATATGTCCAGGATAGGCAAATCCATGGAGACAGAAAGCAGATTCCTGGTTGCCAGGGGCTGGGGGAAGGGAGGAATGAGGTGTGACTGCCTAGTGGGTGCAGTGCTTACTTCTGGGTGATGAAGATATTTTGGAAGTAGAGGCGGTGGCTGCACAACTCTGTGAATGTACTAAATGCCACTGAATTGTACACTTGGTTAACATGGTGAATTCTATGTTACATGAATTTTACTGAATAAAACAAATCACATTTAAATATCAAATAATATTAAACTTATATTCTTCCAAATTTAACAATCTGTTTTCTTTTGAAGCCATTCCTATTTTATCTTATATTCTTCATTATAATTATGTTATATGCTGATAATTTATATTACAGTAAGAATGGCTACTAATACAGCTTTCTTCATTTCTTTTTAACCTCATATTTTAATTTGTTAATGAGAGTAACACTGAGATACAAGCGTGGTCACTCGGCTTCGGTGAGGTTGGGGAGGAGTGAGGTGGAGGACGGGCAGAGCAGGAGCCTGGGCAGACCCGGGTACTTACCTGTGCCTGCAGATGAATTGAAGGTAAATGACCCATCAGGCAGTGCCTTGCTCAGCCCTCTCAGGACATCCTCCAGGCCAAAGAGCAGGTTAGTGGCCACACAGTGCTGCTCTGAGCGGGGCAGGGTCTCCAGGTCCCCTGGGGTCTCCAGCAGAACATCCACCTCCTGCATGAAGTCCTGGGGGATGGGGACACAGAGCCAGTGGGCCAGAGGGTCTACATGAAGACCCCGCCCACTCAGCACAGAAAACAGACCCCAGAGACTCTATTTTGGGATAAAGGTGGTACTGGATGGGATTCCCTGGGTCTTTGCCTCTGAAATCCAGCCACTCAGAGGCCAACCCTGTTCATGAATGCCAACGATGACGCAAACCCAAAGTCCAGGAAAGCAACAGGGAAGGTGTCAGCAGGCACACGTGGGTGTCTAACCTAGTATAAATACCTGCTGTCAGCTCGTCCTACCCCCCGGGAGAGGGGGACCTCTGAGCAGGGTGCCCTGGTGTTGGGGTCTGCCTCCTCCCAGACCACAGCTTCCCCTGGCCTCTATGGGTGCCTCCCCCTGCCTCCCCTGGGTCCTGCACTCACCTGGATGCTGTCCAGGGCTGAGGCTGACGTGAAGTCTCTGCGCAGATGCTGGACTCTTTCAAAGAAGCGGGAGAGATGCTG